TTGTTGATACAGAACAAAATGAAAGACCACCGTGGCAACCGTTGAGTTGCAACAGCTTCAATCAAACGGAAAGGTATGAAGGCCTTGGTGTGCTGGCCAACCGTGTGGGAAAAGAATCTCCCCAAAGAGTTCAAGATTTGCAACGAGTGTCTGGAGTCATCTTCCCTCCCATACTTCTCCATCCATCCCACCGATTTCCCATGCACCCGAAATCCACCAGCAACGATGCGCCCCACAATTGTCGACCTGTTCTACCCATGAGTTAGAACCTGAAGATCTCAACGAGAATCACCAGCTTTCCTTATTCACGGCCCACAGTTCCAGGTTGCCCAGGTAAGAAGGCCGGGGCTCCCGCCTACCCTGCAAAGAGGCCCACGACCAGAGGGAACCCCGGAACACCCGCCAAAAGGCATCCGATGTCCAACAACGGGCGTGCTCTGCAGCTTCCACACATTCTTCTAAGCCTCTGGTCCGAGGGATGTCAACACTCAGGCAAAGCCCCAGCTTGCCTCAATATCCCTCCCTCGACCAGTGAGTTGGCTGAAGGGAGTGCGCGGAAGCGGTAGAGCACAACCGTATTGGACGCCGGATGCCTTTTGGCAGGGTTTCCCGGGTTCCCTCTGGTCAGGGCAGTACTAGTCCGTTAATATGATCCTGCATTTGCCCGTGGAAGAGGGTCCAAAGACGCTTGAGCATCGACGAACGCTTTTCCACAGGCACAGGCGCAGCATAGCTTTCAGTGGGGGAAGGGTTTGGTACGTTACCGTATGGTAAAGTTGCTTCAGACAGGCTCAGAGGCCGTACGCTCGATGATGCCCATGTTTTCCATTACCCTTTTTGCGACAGCTTCGCCCGCGTCCTCGAACACAGCCCCAACGATGGCTTCAACGGTTGCGGATTTATTGTCTTTGGAGACGACTCCACCATTGAAAGGACTGACGTTGATCCATTGGGTTAGACCAATGTTGTCGCATAGAGCGACGAGCCGTGAATCGCAGGCGAGCTCAGCGACACGCGTGGTGGCTTGACCTACAGACTATTAGCTTGCTGAGGCACATTTGCATTGCAGATTTGCTTTGCACTACCTATGGTACGCCCGTCGCGGTTTTCGTTGCGGATGATGATCAAGCCGACGATCTTGTCACCGATCATGGCCAACATTCTGTTGTTGTCACGCACTGGGCGGCCACCAATTTGGGTCACGAGGGACCCCTTCCCTTGGAGGGCCTCCCACAAGCGGTCGCGGTCTTGAAATTCATAGTCAATGATGGCCATCACCTCGTCCTCCTTCTGCTTGCGGTTGTACAGATAGTCGCCCATCGTTCAATGATTGGTGGCAAAGAGAAAATAGTATAAGGTATAGCAGGGGTGAAATGAAATCTGCGCGATGAATTGGGTTGGAGGAATGCAGTTAGCCTTGAGGGAAGGCATAGCTTATTTATCTTTTGGCCCATGAGCCTGCCGCTGGCCGGCGAACCAGTTGCCCAGCCACGGTGATGCTCATTCCTCCAAATGTCTGAGACTTGCATGCTCCCCAGCCTTCTTGGCAAGCAGCGAGACAGTCTGCGCCGAATCACGCTTCTTGAACTTGAAACAACGCAGGCTGGGAAATTATCTCCTGCCTTGCTTGTGCCCTGAATTGATTGATCCAGCAGTTGTTCCGGGTTGAAGCGCATTCCACTTGGTGTATGCCGTCACGCAGGTATGCTTCTTCGCAGGCCGCAAACATGGACTGATGCAATGAGTAGCCGAGGGGAGAATCTTTGCGTTTCAAACTTCGAGTGCTTATTGCAGCGGCTGGTATTGGTCCTTGACTGGGTAGTCGCCGTACTCTGCCACAAGGAGTGACCCTCATTCATTCCAACCACCATCGGCCACAGGCGCAATAACTTCACAGGGGGGAGCAATGGTGACAGGATGAAGCAGTTGTATTCATGATATCTCTTATTGTTTGCATGAGCAGGCGATGCTCAAAGCCAGAAAATCAGTAAGATATGGCAACGAGACACGCACAGCTTCCTAGTCTCGAAATCGCGACGTCTATGCTGTCTTCTTCTCGAGGCCACGTCAGCGCACCGAGGTTTCTTTCGATACGTAAATCTGAACAGAATGTTAGCGAATGTTCCAAGTCAAGTCTAACTCCATCAAAACAGATACAAGGCAACCCTGTAGGTCATACATCCAAGGAAGGTTGAACGCTCATCGCACGTCTCAAAGGCTCGAGTGACGTCTTGCGTGGAAACTGCGAATAAGGTGGAACATTTAATCATGCAAAGGGAGGTGTGCTGCGAGATGGAACGAAATTAATGGTGACTTACCAGACTGGCTTCACGCTCTGAGGGCAGCGTGTGCTCTCAGAACGGGTGATGGAGGAAAGAAAAACGGAAGTGGCTCAGAAAATTTCGCGTTGAAGAAAATCTTCTTCGGGTGGGTCCTTTTCGCGCTGGCCTGTGCGTCTCGCGATCTCACGTGCATAGTGGAGACATATAACCGGCTCGGATTGGCCACACATGTTCGGGCTGGGGGGACGTAACTCCGGAGTACGTACTCATTGAATGGCTCTCCCGTCATTCTCGATGTTCAACCTCTGTTCACTGCCAGCTAACTCAGTCAGCATGAGCCGGAGGTATGGCTTGAAATTGGCTGATGGATGGATTTTCGATTGATTGGCGTGATTTCTCTGCATCGTCACCACTCCTTTGCAAAGCAGAGAATGTCTTCACCATGGCAAACAAACACGTCATCTTCAGCGTCGACATGAAAATCACGACGCGTCTCAGTGGAAGCTGGCAACACTCAAGTAAAGTAGGATTCCAATCTAGTTGACATCTTTTCCAGGGTCATTCAAGCCATTCCTTCTCTGTCTCAGAGCAACATACAGAAACCAAGCCAATCCGTGTCCGCCCTTATCATACATACAAGCAAGCAAGCAAGCCATCCCAGAAAATCTCATATTCAATGCATGGGGAAGTCGTAGGCGCCGGCGACGTTGCGGTGGGAGCCATCCTTGTACGACTGACCAAAAATAGGCTGCGGCTCGGGGATGGGAACAACCATCAGGTCCAGGGTGATGGCCGCCTCTCTTCTCTTCCAAAGTCGGTCGATCTCCTTGTCGTCTTGCGTAAGCAGGAACGGGCACTTGTGGCGCGCGTCGTTGAACTTGCGGCGCTCGTAATCGGCGCGCATCTTGTGGATGTCGTCCGACATGCGGGTCTTCATGACCACGGTGGTAGTCTGCTCGAAGTGGTCGTAGTCGAGCAGCTGACCTCGGGGGATTTCGCCGGTTGCTCCCTCGGCGGCGGGAAGGGGGTCGACGAACAAGTCAGTGACGACGGCAGGAGGTTTGCGTGAGTTGTCGTCGACGCTGTTGTGGCCGGCGGTGTGAGGTATGGCGATGTTGTGGTCGATAGGGCTGAAGTCAGTGTTGTCATGCTGGAGCGCGGTTCCAGAGCTGATGGCATTGGGAGAAAGCTTGGGCTCGAAGTCGCTCTCGGAAGGCAAGAAGGCGCTGGGCGAGACATAAGGAGAAGGCGAATTCTTGGCGAGAGCCTCCATGTCGTCCTCGAAATTCATGCCGTCGTAATCCAGGCCATCGTAGTTCTGCGGCTCGAAACGGCTCATCGAGTGGTCATGGTAGTCGATGTTGTCAAGACGGTGCTGCTCAAGCTCCTGCAGCTGCCGGTGCTGGGACGCAAGCTTCTCTCGCTGTGCGTCGCGACGCTCCGCACCTTGCTGGAGCGACTCATGATCTTTCTGTCGCTGTTGCTCTTCCTGGTTGGGGTGTTGCTTGTCCTTCTCCGCCTTTTTCTCTGCGTCCTTGCGGGCCTTGGTAGCAGCGGCGGACTTTCTCCGCTTCGCACGGCAATCGTAGCAGTGGGCGAAGTACTCGACGTTGCCCATGGAGCGTCTGCTGGAGAAAGACGAGGAGGGGAAGTCCTTCTTGCACTTGGTACACTTTCGCTGGCCCTCGGGGCTGGCCGATCCGGAAGCGGCAATAGCGGTGGCGGTGGAAGCGGGAGAGGGAGCTGGACTCGGAGACGAAGCGACAGTCTGAGAACGACCGAACGGGCTGGAAGACGGAGCAGAGGGAGTGGATGCCTGGCCAGACGGGAGGGCCGAGTTCAGAAGAACCTCCTGAGGCGCGACGGTCTGGGGGACGCTCCGAGGAATCTGGCCTTGCGGATTACCGGGCAGAGCGATCTTCGAAGGCTCAGGCGTGCCAAAGAGCGAGTTGTCGGCGTCCATCGTGATGTGTGCGATATTCACTGACGTGGTGTTGTGTGTGGGAGAGATTGGTGGATGGGAGAGCTCTTGAAATATCTTGACCTCGTGAGGTGAATATAGAAGAGTGAAAACTCGTGGTGAGGAGCCAACTCCAAGAAGGAAGGTAGGAGTAACTCGAGGTAAGTGCGAGTGAGAACTTCAGCTGTCGATTTTCTTTCACCTTTTGTCGTCTGATCTCGCGCATTTGTGGTTTCTAGGGCTTCCGCGGTTCTTCGAGGTACAATATCGTTGTGGGTTTCTTTGACTTGAGAGGCTTTGGGTTCAGTTCCCTCGTCACCAAAATAGAGGAGAAAGACAACAGATTTAACGCGTTGACTAGACCTTTCTGTGGCGATACTCATATGAAAGACGCGGGTTGGGCAATTGGAAGCAATTCCTATGCCCCTACGGAAGGCCCAATAGAGAGCTCTTTCCAATTCAGGTGACAGTCCAAGTGAGAAAGTGAGTTGCATTTTAGCCAGTGAATGGGCCTCGGAGCCAATAAAAGTCTCTGCTTAATTCTCCATCAGTCATTGAAAACGCAAGGTGCACCTCAAAACAATCTTCTCAGCAGCAGCATCCTCATCTGCCACTCCAACATCGGCAGCAATATCTATTGCCCGCCTGACCCAGCCTTCGAAAACCTTTTCCCCTTGAAAGTCTTTGCGGGCTCCATCTTCGCAACGCTCTCGTTGCCCGCGCTTGCCTCAGATCTGCCCCCTTTGCGAATGAGCGATATGGCCTCGAGCCCTGGTCTTCCGACCCTCGCGTGGAACCCGGGCTGCGAGAGCATGAGGGAGTTCGTGGGCAACGACGACCTTCTGAGTCTGCTCGAGCCATACGTGAGTCGACGGCTGTTACATATCTCCTTCGATCACTAACTTTATTCTAGATCCACGACAGGCACCATCTTCACTCGCTGTGTCTGGTCAACAGGATGTTCAACGCAGTCTTTTCCCAGTCTCTCTATGAGCATCTCCTCATCAAACATACCCACGTTCATTGCATTGAACCCGACTCGGAAAAATTCGGAGCCCTTCTGAACAGCCCAAGCCTTCGACACACACGAAAGCTGTCGCTCCTGCAGATGGACCAGCTGAACTACACCCGAAAAGAACATGAAGACGCCCCCAGATACGGCCCCATTCTCAACGATGCAATCTGTCAGATCGTGAAGCGGTGCCCTAATCTCCGCCAATTCAATTTTTCTGCACCCTTATACGCTTCGTCTCCAATCTTGACGGAATACTTTGTCTCGGCGGAGACGCTCGATTGCCTCCATAGCTCCTGCCCAATGCTGCGGTCTCTTTCACTTGAGCAGGCATTTCCTCCTTTCTCTCACCCAGAAGCCGTTGATCAAGGTGCCATATATCGAGACCGCGATGGTCCAATTGGCGTTATCCAATTCCCAGAACTCTCGAACCTCACTACCCTGCGTATGATCGGCAGCAAGTGGGATACGTCGTGGCCGAAGTCGATAGCTGGGCTACTGTCGTTAACGCCGCGGGTGGAGGAACTAAGCCTGTCGATACAATGTCCGGTGATGAACAGGTGGCCCGTTCGATTGGAAGTATTCCTCGCCTGGAGAAATTGCTTGATCCGCCTCTGCGCTGAGTACAAAGCGCTAGGGAAACCGCCGCTGAAGCTTCGCAATCTTCAGCTTCACGATTATGTCGGCTTTCACTGTGACGCGCAGGGAAGCATCGAATACGTCGAATCACTCACTGATCTGGAGGTGCTTGAAGAGCTTCGAATTTTCAACGATCCCCGGTACACTGGCGACTTGTTGGCGGCTCCGCCTCCCCCGACAATAGTTCCGATGCCCTTCAGATTCTTCACGTACGATACAATGCCACGACTCCGCAGATTCTCGTTTGACAACATGGACGGCGACATCATGGAATGGCTCATTCAAGTGGCAGATACGCCCTTCAAAGACCAACTTAGCCTCTGCAATGATGGACTTGACTACTGGGAGGCCGGTGCTGAACTCTTCGAAGCTATTTCCAGCGCACGAGCCCAGAAAAGAGCCGAGAACCCGTTGGACAGCTTCACAGCAAGCGATTTGGAGTCGGTCTTACGACCAGTTCATTGGATTCATGCCGCCTCTCCTCTTTTGCCCGACATTATGAGTGGACGTTTCGTGTTCCCGGCCAAGCTAGGAGTAGGTGATTCCAACCATCTAAGTCTCACAAATCCTCATCGGCCGGGAGAATGCACATGGGTCAAAAGCATGCGTCTGTTCGTCGAGAGGGAAAGCCTCAACATGCCAGAATTGCTTCTACTTCTCGACGGAATGGATACGATCGAAAGCCTGATGATCGTCAGCTACACGGCAAACCGCTGGAAAAGTTTTGTTCACGCAGACGGTAGCCCAACATGGGAGACGAACGCTCAGAGAATTGCTGTCTCGTTGCCGCGCTTGAAATACCTTAAGGTGAACACAATGTCGTGGAGATTCCAGCGCGCGCATCAGGGCAATGGGGTGGTGGCGGAGAGACTGAGCGTTGCAGAGGACGAGATGCTGGGCAAGCTTCCGCCGCTGAGTGACGTGCCGATGTCGCCTGCGGTGACTCGGAGACGCTGGAGACGATCGGTTTTAAGTCCTGGTTTCACCTTAAAATTTTGAGAGATGGGCATCAGAATGGGGTTCAAGCAACAGCAAAGATGAACAGGTACCAGGGCCAGGGTGCGGAACGACTGTCAGAGAATGGAATCCCAAGCAGCCCCACTTCTATTAATCCACCAAGAATGACCGAAATAAAAAGGATGGAAGGGAAAGAGCGTCACTCATTAGTCCAGAACTAGATAGGTGCAATGAATTGCGATACCTTAACAAAAGGAATGCTGAGCATGATTCCAACCGACCGCAACAAAGGCTTGGTTCCCCAAGTGCATGAGGCAGGCTCGCCCTACATCGATTTCAATATACCATGAGCACCAGCAAACTCCAACTCATCCATCGTTTCAATCCATAGTTGTTCTGTGACATTCTTGCCTTCTTGTGTGTAAAGGAACGCGGCAAATCTGCAATGTGTTAGCGATCTAGGGGCCGACGAAGGTAGGGTGTGTCAACTTACGGATGAATCTTCCAGCTCATGAGGAAGCATCCATGAGATTCTTTCCCTTTGTTCACCACAGCATCAACAAAGCAAGAAGCACCGACTCTCGGAGTTCTACCCGTTGCCCCAAAGGCCCAAAGACCCCACCTCAGCAAGCCGGGAGCATCTCGGCCCAAGGCAGTGCCCCTGCACCAGGCAGGATCTGACAGGTTGACGATGACGTCGTCGGCAGAAACAACATCGGAAAGCTTCCAAAGAAACATGTGAGCCAGAAGCTTGGATGAGTTGTATGTTTCGGAGCTGAATATCTTGGGGTCGTCAAAGGACGGTAGCAAGGGTTTGGCATCCCTGTTGGGAAAGCTTGCGGCGAGCGTCAATGCAGCGTTGACAATGGTCAGGTGTGCAGGGTCGCCGTCGGGCTTACTCTTAGCCTTCAGGACCGGCAGTAGAAGGATGGCGAGCAACACCGTGGACAAGTAGTTGACCTGCAGTGTCTCCTCGTGCCCGGTGCTCGGATTCTTGGAAAACGACATCTTCATAATGCCGGCGTTGAGGATGACGATGTCGATTCGAGATAGGTAGCTTTCAGCTCGACGGGCAAATGCTTGAATGGAGTCGTACGAGTTCATGTCGAGTTGCCATACGTCGATGGTGGCGCTAGGATGCTGCTTGCGGAGTTTGGCTGCTGCGTCCTCTCCCCTGTCGAGGGAGCGGACGGCAAGGACTAAGTGCGACAACTTCAAGCCAAGCAACTGAATGGCTGCTTCGTACCCAAGTCCAGTGTTGCCGCCGGTGATAATGGCCGTTTTGCCTGAAAGGCTGATGTTCGGAGCTGGCCATTGGGGCTTGGCGCAGAATTGATTGTGAAAAAAGACGCTGCCAAAGGAGGCTGTTGAGGGAGGGAGATCCTTAGAGCCAGTCATATTGAAAGGCGTTGGCTTTTCGATTCAACGTTATGAGAAAGTGAGGAATAGAATGATTTCGTTGGAAGCTGTGTGTTGGTAGTGATGACTCGAAGACGACGGGCATGGGCGTGAATACTTATACCTCAAGGGCTGTCCAAAGATGCCTAGGAAATCAATCGGAAATCAAGAGCGATTGGCATTCGTATTGATGAATGGACTTGAAGACTGCGCTATCTTCCCTCAAAGTCTTGCCATATCTCCGCTGACCAGTTTATTGACCATTTTGGGAAACGGCCGCGATGTCAGCCGGAATGAGGCTATTCCCGATTTGGCAAACAATGTGGTCGAGGGCGTAAGAGCGATCAGCAGCTGGTACCCATCGCACAGGCAGTGGCGCTTACGTCTGTGTAATTCCGAACCCCGTCCGATATCATAGCAGCATTAATTGAGACACTCGGGCTTAAGTCAAAATCTGCCCGAGGCTCTCGATGGAAGATTATCAGATCATTAGATCGCAGAAGATCTGTGAGCTTGTAAGAGGATTCATTACATTATCTACTCTGGCGGCAAAAGTTTGTGACATGTGATCTAAACACGAGCAAGGGCGCAACCAGATTCGCGCGGCCCAGAACTATTGTCTCGAAAGAAGGCCCATCAGCTGTCTCCCACAATTCACTTCTGCCAGAGTGAGTTGACCGGGAGCAGATGGGGCGGGGAGGAGCTCGTGTGTTACAAGTGATATCGGCGAAAGCATCCTTGAAAGCTGGCCACGCTGACCCATGCCCACGGCAAGGAGAGACTTGGGGTTTTTTGAAGAATGACTTCTCTCGAACAGAGCAAGCTCGTGGCAGTCATAGACATCTGCGGGCTTGATGATATCTACGGATTCCGGCTTATCAGCTAAGGATTTGTATGGGGTTGACGATTTGGGTGTGTTTACCTCCGAAAGCGTCCGCTGTGGTATACCTCTCCCGTAGGAGGTCACTCGTCCATCATATATCACCAGTCCAATCGTGAAACGAGGTGATGATCTTCGAGCTTCCTTTCTTCTCAACGACAGCGTTGATCATTTCAGGAGACCATTTGATCTCAACATCGATGTATTTGCACCGCTCTTCAACAGCCATGAGCATCAACGCCAGAGCCTCGTTCCCGGCGTCCGGCGGAAACTTGCCCCCTTGAGGCACTGTGCGGATAGTAAAGAGAATAGGCATTTCGGATAGAGATTGAAGGAATTTTATCTGAGCTTGAACGTAGCTCAGTGGCGGCAAGTTCGTTGCACCCAGAGGCTCACGAGAGGGGCTAAGGAGATCGACTCTCATTTCCCAAATGTCACCACCATGGCTGATGTTAGGAATATCAGCAGCGCCAAGAGCTATGTCTGGATAAGTAAGGGGTATGATGAAGGTTTGTCGACGCGGATCATGGGTGTGATTATCGAAAATGATGTCCGCCATGATGATGGTGAATAGGTGTGCAAAATTGATGGTATGGTTGTGGAAAAGGCTAATACTAATGCGCTTCGTCGCAGGTGGTGATCATGTACTTTGGCAACAGCGATATTTTAGTAGACTTTTCCCGCGTTTTGTTGGTTTTAATGCCGTTCAAATTCCGAGAAAGCTCATCGGGTGATGTCAACGCCGTCCACCATCCGGGAATAGCTTCCGTCCCGTCTCTTGCAGCCGGCAAAGAAAATACCCGTCTCTCATCACCGCAACACATGGATATCAAGATCCGACATCATGTCTTGACACTGCCAACTGCCATTGATACTAGCGGTCAACATGATCTACTCAAAATAGCTCGACTTATGTATCAGCACAAACGGGGGTATGAATTCGTGGTCCTCACAATTGCAGCGGAAACTTTGAGTCATGGCCAGGACTTCAATTCCTGTGATTAATTCAAGACAGATATTAGTTGAACTGAGAGCGCAAGATCTCGTGACTTTCATTTGCCAAATGTAACCAGGCAGGCTGACTCGGGTGCCCAAGAAGCTGGTAAAGCTCCCGCTGGGATTATTTTGCGACAGCCTATGAATCATAAAATACCCTAAGCTTCATGATGAGACGCTGCAATCTCCTTCTCGTCACGCCCCAAAGCATCAGCATGGCCATCCGCCCGACGCTGGTTGATAATCTCCTCAGTCTGTCGACGCCAAGTGCGAGGCATACCCTTGCGGGTGAACAGTATGTCCATGTCTTCAAGAGAGATACCCTTAGTCTCTGGAATGAGGAGGGAGGTGAAGACAAATCCAAACACGACAGAACAAGCGAACAACAGAAACGTGCCATACGTGATGTCCGTCATCATGTACGGTGTCGAGTAGACAATCGTGAACTGGCCGAGCCACTGAGCACAAGTCGTGAAGACCAGGCATATTGAACGGATACCCATGGGGAAAATCTCAGCGCTATGAGGCAAGGTCAGCAGCGTGCGGACTTGAAAGGGTCGGAGATGATATACCAGAAGATCCAAGGAATGCCGTTCCATGAGATGGCATAGAAAACGGCGAATACGTAGATCATTACGATAGCGACATAGGCACCAGGTGTTCTATCGCCTGCAGACAACTGACCGGCCTCGAAAGATCCAGACAGCTCCGCGTATGCTCCGAGATAGAACAGGGCGATCGCGGCCCCGGTCGAACCGATCATAAGGGATTGTCGGCGGCCGAGGGCGTCGACACCCCATATCATGTAAAGCATCGTAGCAAATGCTTTGACGATGCCAAAAATGCCGGTAGCCAGAAGACCTACGCTAGTGCCAGTAAAGCCAATGGATTGGAAAATCGAGGGCGAATAGTAATTAAGAGCGTTGATGCCAGACCTGGAATGATTGAACTCAGTACTCTGTTAAAATACCACACTGAGACGACCATCACCACTCACATGTTTTGGATGAACATTAGAGCAATGCCCAACAGAAGACGGCGTCTGTTTGTGGGAGGCTTGATCTCCCGCAGTTTCTCCAACAGGCCCCTATTCGCACCCATCGCAGTCTCCTCCTCAATCTGTTGTAGAACCGTGTTGATCTCCCAGTTCAGATAGGGATGGTCTGCAGGCAGTTTTCGCAGGCGTTGAAGAACCTTTCTCGCTTGATCAGTGCGACCGGCGTTCAGAAGCCAGCGAGGAGACTCAGGCTGAAGAAACATGCAGATGGACAGAAGGCTGCCAGGGATAATCTGCAGTGCGAATGGCACATGCCATTGGGTGTCAGAGCTTCCTGAAATATGTATGTTGACTCCGTAGTTCACCCAGAAGCCGATGATCTGGGAGAATTGCAGGAAGATTTCGAACACTCCGATAAGGCGCCCGCGAATCGCAGGGGGACCAGACTCGGAGATATATACCGGAATAATCATAGAAGAAGAACCAACGGCAAGACCTGTAATTGATTTCAATGCGTCAGCCACCGCAAGGACTTGGAGTCGCATCGTGACCAACCTGTCAGAACTCGGCCGGCGTAAATTAGAGCTAGATTACCGCTGGCAACGAGCTGTAAGATCGCGCCAAGGTCGAAGAGCGCGCCGCAACCGATGAGCACCCAGCGACGGCCCAGCCGCTCAACCAAGTAGTAGCACAACAAGACACCAAAGAAGCATCCACCCTGAAATGTGCTGACGATGTTGGCTTTGAGCGCAGCAAGGTCGGTGCCTGGCGATGAATCGAGACCGAATCGACTCTGGAAGGATGGAAGCGACATAGTGCCTCCTATGAACGCAGAGTCGTATCCAAACATCGCGGACCCCATGGCTGCGGAAGCTGCGAGCCCATAGATCCTCCAGTTGTAGACCTCCGCAGGCGCGGGGTTCGCGGAGTCATCCTTGGGTCGCTTGAAGATGTTCACCATTGTCATTGGCTTCAATCACGTGCGATACAAGCGAACTATCAGACCGAAGAAAAGACGAGCGTGTCTCAGAAATCCGCCTATGATCGAAGAAGGCTGTTTCCAGATGGATTTAATATGAACATGAAGTGGGTTTATCCACTCTGTTTTGGCGTGCTACCCCAGATCTTACCCCGGACATCCACACCTCTCTTCCCCAGCTTATGGAGCGAGCGAAGGGTGAATATTCTCCCCAAATTCGAGATATGCACGATGGCCCAGGGATCTGAAGAGGGGTTTTGAATGGGAAGAGTTCTTTCCCGATGCCAAGAAGCCAATCGGGTTATCACGCCAATGAAAGCCAAGTTGCTCTTTGATTGGAGATCCCATGATTTGGTCAGAGACGTATTGCCCAGCAGAAGGTGGGGTTTGCCGAGCTCGCCAACAAATGCTATTCACACAGCCATGTCGCCTTGTCTGCAAACCATTGGATGATGGGAAAGGTGTCAACAAGGGTCGCGTCTGACGGTTGCTTGTTAAGCCGGCACAGGCTGACAGTTGAGACCACAAGTTACATCGCATACAGTAGCGCTACATCCATCTTGAAAGCGCAGACACCGCAGGGCCGTTACCATGGACTTGGGCTCCAAACTAAGAAGTCAAATAATCATGTCTCAATGCTTTTCAAGTGGATGATGACATCGCCATTGTTTTACCAGCGGTAGCATCTATATTTGGGTTCCTGGCAAACTCCCCATACATGTTCCTAAGTCAGTGGATGAGCCGTAGCGATGTCATCTGGATGACAAAAGAGCGGAAGGTTTGATTTAGGCTACGGAAAATTAGGAGCTACAGCTGACGTCGTTTTTCTTGCAGGTGTAAAGCCCACACATCGAGGGCGCCTTGCATAGGCCGCAATTACCACCGCCCCAAGTACTCTCCATGTCCGAGCCCTTGATTGTCTTATTGTCAAGTTGATAGCATACTGTGGACTCGTAGCTGTAGTCGACACTGAATATTTCGGGCTTCCAGCCGTCTGCTGCAGTATACTCAAAGGATCTCGCGTTGTTCTTCACAACGGCCTTGGCGCCGTTGTCGCACTCGAGCTCGAAGACGGTCTGGTCGCTTGCCCAGTGTTTCCCGCCGCCCGTCCGGCAGACTTCCACGCCGTTCTCCCAAATCTGGACGTTGACGCTGTCTGGCTGGAATGCGCAGTTGCTCATGTAAACGTGAGCAGCCATGCAACGTGGTTTCGGTGCGGGAGCTGGCGGCGCTGGGGCAGGTGTTGGACCTGGAACCTGCCACGTCGCACATCCAGCAGTTGTGATGGTGGCTTCACCGTGGGGACCGCCGGTGATCGTCCAAGTCTCACTCTTGATACACGTACCACCTGATGGGCTCGGGGCTGGGCCGAGTGTTGGGAGATCGGGTAGATGGAATATGCTAGACGTAGTCGTACCAAAGCTGGCGCAGGACGTCGAAGTCACGCAGACGCCGCCTCGTGGTCCTCCGTTGCACAGCGTGGCAGTTGTTGACGAGAGACATACTTGCCCAGGAGGAGCTGCTGTCGGTGCCGGTGTCAATGTTGGCAAGTTGGTCAACCCACCTCCAAATCCTCCACTCTCAGCTGGCCTGGTGTTGGTCGGGCGCGAGGTTTCCCACGGTGGAGCAAAGTCCGGTGGCGTATTAGTTGGGTTTGGGCTGCAGTAATATCCAGAGCAGAGATGGCCGCAGTTTGCTGTGCAGAGAGGCGCCGGCGGACCCGGCTTGTACGTGACACCAGGACCTTGGGGCGCAGGGTTGTTTCCACCCCCAGGCAAGTTGGGAATCGGGCAGGCTGCCTGTCGGCTGTCCAGCCCTCTCTTTTGAGAGCTTCCACATTGTTCGAATGGATCGGCAAGGTTCCAGACCATTTTCTCTTTCTGTTCAAAGTCTGCTTCATCTTCCGTGAGAGGGAGAGGTCGTGACACTTGTTGCATGATGGATTTGATGGATGCGGGATCCTCCCCGAATCCGTAATGCATTCCTCTCACGTAGGCAACAAGACCTGCAACCAGCGGAGCGGCTTTACAAATGAGCATAATGTAAGTAAGTGGTCGTAAGTCTTGACAGTGAGGATGCCTGTGACTTACCAAATGATGATCCAGTAGCCGTGCCTGCTGAGAACTGCGGTGACACAAATACCTCGTTTGGAGGAACGAGTAGCTCTTCGCCTGGGGCCCATGTGTCGCCCGCATTGCTGTTGACCCACCAGCCTGCATTATTGAGGTAGCCAACAAGAAAGGCCCCGTCGAGATCTCGGACTAGGATTCCTGGGACAGTTGTAGGGTCATCTTCGCCTTGGTTTCCAGCGGCAACGACGAAGGTGATTCCGTAGCTTTGTTCCATTCTCTTCATCAGCATATCTGCCGAGGAGTCAGCTGGTGTCTTGTTTACGGCAACTCGACCAGAGCGGGGGCAGCTTCTGACGACTCATCTTTCGCCACTTACAAATAAGCTGTGTGAGAGGATCATTCCTGTTCTTCGCAAAACCACCGGACACATTCACCACACCTGAGTTCCTAGGTTTCGGGTTCCGCTTGTCTTCTTCTATGTCCTCATCCGTGAAGTCATTAAAAATAAGCGTAAGTGCTTCCAAGAAGCCCTCTGCGCGTAATCCTGGAGGTCCGCGTGGCACAAACACGAGGTCAGCATTTCTCGCGATGCCAACTTTGGAGCCAACGGCATAGTTTGCCACCAGATGTCCATGCTCGGTCTCGAACGTGCTGGGCTGACGTGCTGGGCGCCAGCTGCCCCCGGTGAGAGCTTTTGCTTGCTTGTCGAAGTCCTGCATTTGAAGAATTAGCATAATAGGAGGCGGCGGAGGGCTGAAAGAATCCAAGTCTAGAGACTCTGTCCATCTGATTCCCAGTCTCAAATACTTACTGCTGCAACATGTCCCCTCCAGCCGCCTTCGACGATGTAGATCGTTTGACCCTCACCTTCGGGTGAGCTGAATTGGTACGTATATTTGCCATCGTTCGGATCGTGTTCGCCATTCTTTTGGAACCAATATTTGTTGGGCGGCCAGGAAATCTGTGACAGATGCCAGTAATGGTCGTTGCCTTCGAACCTCTTTGTTTTGGAGGTACCCGGCGCGAACTGGGGAGGTGCTAGTGTGATGTTGTGACTCGAAGGTCTTGGCTCTTGGATTGCTGCAAAGCTTCCATCTTCCAAGCCTTCAAGCCCATCTCGCTTGCCCGTTGACGAGGTCGTAGATGGCATTCTATAAGCACGACCAACCTGGGGATGGAAGTTAGTGAGTGTATTGCGACCGTTAGTGCGACGTGGTTACGCCGACGTACCTCGTCAATTTCGTCAGAATTGAAGTAGTCAAAGGCAAGAGGGCCAAGGTTAGTAACATGGATAAACGCGGTAAAGCCCATATGCTTCGCTTGAATCATCTCAAAGCCATTCTTCATGTCTCTTTTCTTGAGAGCTGTATTGCGTCGCTCGAGGACACCTTCGACAATTGCTCGAGCTGTGGCCGAAAAAGGCATGCTCAAAAGAAGGATACCATCACTGCCGTCTTGCTCGTTGCACCAACTCGGCTCGGAACGCTTCACAAGGAGTCGTTTCTCCGGTGCGTGGGTCGCTTCTGGAAGATCCGGAAGCTGCATAGCTCGGCGCGTAAGCTTGCAGGCATTCGCTGTCTTCGTAGCTTCAACATCTTGGAGATTGCAGCCCGTAATCGTAGCACATCGAGATTTGACCTGTGTAGCTGTAGTCTTCGTTGTGCCCGCGGACACTGAGGTAGCGAAGGAGCTGGTTGTAATGCAGAGCGAAGCTTCCGCGGGCGTGCAAGAGGCGGGCTTTGGCGGAACCTCGATACTCCCACCAGGATGGACACTATCCCAAATCATAATCAGCAATTCAATCACCAATTGCAGCGGAACTAGGGGTTATTACGTGATCTTAGGCCAAGGGGGAAGCGGGCCGATGATGTTGATGTTGGGTGGGAACCTCAATGGAGGCGGGGGCCCTCTGCAAATGGCAGGTTAGAAGACGATGGGCGTTTGGTTTCGAGATAGCGCTGCACTCACGGTCCCCAGATGCCGGGCGGAATGATCCATTCCAAGCCACCGATGTGTATGTCGAGGTCATCCCACTTAACGCATATCTGTATCAGAAGGACGTGTTAGAAGACTTGTCAGAGTAGCAGGAGGTAGAACGTCGAGAACTCACCCAGAAAAACCAAACTTTACAGGTGCTCTTGTGCTTGGGGCCTTCTCCATCGTCATCTTCACCGCTGTCGGGCACGTCGGTCTCGACTGGCACGACCGAAATTACTTCGGGCCATGTACCTGTGGGCTCAGGATCATCATCTATGTCCCATGTGAACGGTGTTTTGCTGGTAGAAGGGAGCTCGGTTATTGTGGGCGGTCCTGCTGGTGGGACAGTGATGATGGGGAAACCTGATTGCCCTTGGCTTTGATCCTTTGAAGTCCATTGAGCGGGAGGACCTTCCGTGACAGAGGGCCAAGGAGGGATCACGAGAGTCCTGACCTGAGTCAGACCTCCTGGAAGAGTGAAGGTCGTGACAATAGGCGGGATGCTGATGCTGGGCAAAGGTACGATCGTGCTGGAGTCAATTTGACCAGAGGTGACGTTAACATTATAGTAGTCCATCGACTGGGTTACGATGGGCGGAATCTGAATCGTAAGGGTCGTCGTAAGATCTGGCGCGATCACGACAGATGTCGTGTAGGATGGGATTGTGATGGTGGTGGTGGACGGAAGTGCCCTCGGGGGCAACACCAGCTGACAAGGTCCAGTGCATTGAGCGGGAGTGCCGGAATACACTTCGGGAGCCAGGAAAACAACTTCTGGATCATCATCTGGCCTGCAAATGGTTAGACTGGTTGAATGGGGGAGATTATGAAATACTTGCCCTCCTGAGCCAGGAACTTGGAAATCAATTGACCAAACCATGGTGCCACCGAAGCAAAGGCCATCAGCAAAGGCCCTCTTTGCTGCAAATGTCTCTTCGTCATCGTATCCAATCCATTGATCGTCCCAGGTAATCTGCTTCATCATCGAGTCTGCAAGATACTTTGGCTTGATGTTGCGCCTCTTGATCAGCTGCTCAATCTCCACCAGGGACATAACGCCTTCGAAGTTGGTGCATGGCGCTGGGTTGCTTGGACCCGAGAACGGACAAAGAAGATCGCTGCAGGAGGGGTCCGCAAGCGTGTAGCCACGGCCGTACATAGCAAGACCGAAGTTGAGCTTTGCGGGATTCAAGCCATCGAACCAAAGAGGAACGGTATTCTTGGAGATCTCCTGTATATCCGCTTGACCTCGAACCTTCTTGCCGAGAGCGAGGACATCGGCATCCCAAGAGCCGTGCAGATCTGTCCAACGTTAGGAACCAATTGACCCCGAGCTTCTTCAAAAGAGACATACCATATGCCATGAAGCCAAAGAAGTCGACGTGAGGCTCCATAGCCTTTGCATCAAACCACCTGGATGCCAATGTTAACGAACTTTCAATGACAATCAAATATATATGTATCGATATACTCACCTCAGATACCAGTAGTCGGGAGCTAACGTAAGACTAATGCCATAGGCGGTGCCGTACGCAGCTCGCATCTCTTTGACCAGAAGGGCGAGATTCCTGGTATCAGCAAGCTTGTTGCCGCCTCGTTCAGGTGCGCCCGGGTACTCCCAGTCCAGGTCGACTCCTTGAAACCCATGTGTATCCATGTAGGTCTTGACAGAAGCAATGAAAGCAGCTCTGTTCTCTTTGGATGCTACCATTTCACTCCTATAAAACGTTAGAAATGACAAAGCTGCGGCATACCTCATGCTTACCAAGTCTTGTGCGTTGCGGCTTCCGGGTTGCTCATGTCAAAGCCTCCGACGGCGATCCAAGTCTGCAGCTTTCCATCTTTGGAGAGGTCCGTAAACTCTTTCATCAGCGGAACATCGTCAGGGTGCGCCGCGGCTATGGTGAACGCGACTGGGTCAATGAACGCGAACGAAAAGAAGAGATGGGTGTAGCCTTTCGTGTCAAGCTGTTTCGGCGTGACCCTATTGCAGAGTCGGGTCCTAGCATTCCATGACTGGTAGTATCCGATGGTTCTTCCCTTGGAGCTTCCGCTGCCCTGTGCACAGGATGGGGAGCCGGTGATTGCGCAAGAGCCATAACCAGCCTGGCATGGCAGTGTTCCGTGAAGAGGATCGGCATTGTGGCAGTAGACGTCGGTGGCTACATCGGTTAGCACGGGTGCAAGCGTTTGAACCATTCAACTTACTTCCACTAGATGGCTATCAGTATCGCTTCTGAGCTTGGGAACTCTGAATTCGAGAGGGACTTACCACCATCCGGTCGCACTACAGCACAGCTTCATGCCACATGGCATCTCGGCATTCTCACTAAACTCGCCACACATTGCGGTCGCATTGCATTGACTCTGGCAACCTGTACCGCAAAAGTCTGGCCCATACCCACAGATGTTCTTGGGCCCACAGCAGCTGTTCATATCCCAGTCAGCACGCGCCGACAAGAGATACTTCAGAACTGTTACCTTCCGTCAACACAAGGACCATCTGTGCAATACAACGGTCCGTCGGCACGGCGCTCGAGGCTATGTGGCTGCCTTGAAGTCAAGTTTGCACTAGACTCGAGCAATGAATCAAACTCCACGTCCTCTGGAGTAGCAACGTGAGGTGCCTTGGCTGGGTTCTGGTGAGCGGGACTGAGCTGGATGGTGTCGATCCATGCTGCGAATTATTAGCTGCAAAGCAATGATAACGCAAGGCCCGTATTCATCATGCCACTCACATCGTTCTTCAGATGCGCGTTTTGCGTTGTTAAGCTGGTTGTGGTATGGGTTGGTTCGACGATAGGCGGAGGCACCACAAGTGAGAGTCAAGATACAGACAAAGACAAACGAGCCGATAGCCAAGGCTACCAGCCGGCCGGTTCGTGACTGCATGTTTGACAGCTTGCCTGGTTGACGCCCTTGCTCGTGTCACTGTGCAGTGACACTACCACCGGGCGGAACGTACTTATACTGGTTCTCGGCTTGCGGATTTTGAATCAATCCGAGCGCGGCTTACAAGGCATCAAACACGGTCATGAATTTTGCCGCGGACCCCAAGCCTAAGAGTCCACGAGCTTCAAATTTAGAAAAATCATCAGACATATCTCGTATTGATCCCTGAGTAGAGGGATCAGAACGACTCTCGCCGGAACGGGAGGCAAATTGAGATTGTGGTCGAAAAATTTCGACTCTCGTCAAAGACTTCCCAAGTCTAGATGTTCGGGAAGATCTTGGCAAATGTCCTTCGGATGGATGCCTAGGCTAGCACTGAAAGGGACTGGTTGAATGACCTGAAATGCAACCCATCAACAAGCCAAAATTCTGGCTGGTCATTGTAGTGCGGCCCAGAGACAATTTGAGCAAGGGCAACTATCTTGCCCCCCCTGAGTGCAGGCGATTGTCGATCGCGTGGACTGTTGGCCGCACCTTACCTGACAGATTTCGGCACGCTTCTGATTTGCGCGCTCGGAATGCAAGTGGAACTAAATATTGAGTCCCAGGATTTCCAGTAGTGTGTTGCTACATTAGGCAGTCGACGTTACTTAAAGCTTTTCAGCTCCAGGGCTAGCTAGATTCCTCTGCAACCACACAAGCGGGGCTCGAGTCCGAGGATAACCAGGGTTACTATGCTTGTTTGTAGGGCCACCGCTACGGCACAACGTGCAGAATGTTCCTGCCTAGAACACACTTTATTTAGAAGTTAAAAGAGTCCGACAAGACTTTGCCATATTAGGAAGGTTACTGTGGTTGAAGGATTTTCGGTGTGACCCGATTCTTACCATTGGGCTGCGTCGGAGAGCCCCTCAACTATTGAATCGAGGACACCAATTGAACTCCTGAAGTCACGAGCTGCCGCGGTTGGCTCTATCACGCTGTGACAGACAGAGAGTGTTGTTATGTGTAGTTGTGTTGATGTACTACACTATATATCCTCTCATCGCAGCTGCTCGTCATTATGGTGTTCAATGACACAACTATCTCGTTCATTTCGCTCATTCATCATTAGCGATGAAACAGTTCGCTCTTCTCTGGCTGTTGCCAGCTATTTCATTTGCTCAGTCTACGACTTCTACTACCGATGTTCTGCCACCGTGGCAGACCGGAGTGGAAACTGAGGACGGATCTTGCGGCCCATCGAGTGGCGGACGAGTTTGCACTCCCACTTGGGGTGCTTGCTGTTCTGCTGATGACATCTGCGGCCGATCCAAAATCGCCTGCGGAGACGGCTGGTAAGTCCTCACCCTATGCATCTATATCTGCGCATTATACTAACAGTGAGAACCCTCATTTTAGTCAACCTCTTTATGGCAACTGTAACAGCGCTGCTCCTCCCCCTACAACGTCAACGGTCCCAACAACTCCGGCACCAGGGCCAGGCAGTGCATCTCCGGACGGCTCATGCAGTGGAACGAATCAGTTCACTTGTGCCGGCTCAACCTTCGGTTCTTGCTGCAGCGGCGGCAACTGGTGCGGTGACAGTACCAGTCACTGCGGAGCCGGCTGTCAGAACAAGTTTGGTAACTGCACGGTCATTGCGGATAACATCAGTACCGACGGGAGATGCGGCTCCAACGGCAAGACTTGTCTAGGATCTGCCTTTGGCTCCTGCTGCAGTGAAGGCGGCTGGTGTGGTAGCGAGCAAGCCCATTGCAGTGCTGGCTGCCAGACCGGCTTCGGCAACTGCACCACCAGCGACGGCTCAACGCCCCCCAGCGACGTATCCACGGATGGGAAGTGCGGAAGCAATGGGAAGACCTGCAAGAACTCAGCTTTCGGAACCTGCTGTTCCAGCTCAGGCTTTTGCGGTTTTGAATCGGGACATTGCGGCAGTGGGTGCCAGAGCGGATTCGGTACCTGCACTGCTGGCAACGACAACGTATCAACCGACGGATCTTGTGGCAACAATGGGAAGACCTGTAAAGGCTCTTCCTTTGGCGAGTGCTGCTCTCCCAGCGGATTCTGCGGAGGCACGAAAACCCATTGCGGCCCGGGCTGTCAGTCAACCTTTGGAACTTGTGATGCCTCCTCGAGTAACGTCTCGACGGATGGCACCTGTGGAAAGAATGGCAAGACATGCAAGGGGTCTGGCTTTGGGGACTGTTGTAGTTCCTCGGGATTCTGTGGCTCATCCACCAGCCACTGTTCTGTTGGCTGTCAACTGGACTTTGGAACCTGCGATGCCTCTGCTGGCACCATCTCCACAGATGGTACTTGTGGCAAGAATGGCAAGATATGCAAGGGCTCCGGGTTTGGTGACTGCTGCTCATCTTCAGGCTTCTGTGGCAGCTCCAGCGATCATTGTGGAACAGGTTGTCAAACTTCGTTCGGCACTTGTAATGCTGGCTCTGGCAGCATTTCCACCGACGGATCTTGTGGTAAAAATGGGAAAACATGCAAAGGGTCAACATTCGGCGACTGTTGCAGTTCCTCGGGCTATTGTGGCGGCACAAGCGATCACTGTGGCTCAGGTTGCCAGGCCTCGTTTGGTAAGTGCAACAGTGGTTCCGGAAGCATTTCCACGGATGGGTCTTGCGGGAAGAACGGCAAGACCTGCAAGGGATCAGCTTTCGGTGATTGTTGCAGCTCATCTGGGTACTGTGGAGGCGCCAGTGACCACTGTGGAACAGGCTGCCAGGGCTCGTTCGGTACATGCAACACTGGCTCGGGCGCAGTATCTACTGATGGAGCTTGTGGTAAGAATGGAAGAATTTGTAAGGGATCAACTTACGGAGACTGCTGCTCTTCTAGCGGCTACTGTGGCAAGTCGACTGATCACTGCGGTGCGGGCTGCCAGTCTGCATTTGGGACATGCAGTAGTGGTTCAGCGGCCATCTCAACCGACGGTGCCTGCTCAACAAACGGCAAGACGTGTAAGAGCTCGACCTTTGGCGATTGCTGTAGTGCTTCGAACTACTGCGGCAAGACGACTGCTCATTGCGGATCTGGATGGTAAGTTATTGCCCATGACCTGATACATCTGAGAACCAGTATTGATCTTTGAACAGTCAAAAGTCATTCGGAACTTGCTCGTAGGGAACATGAGATGGGATCGAAAGCTGCCACGTGATGTCTGGCGTATTTTCATGTAGTCTGTATCCACGTATCACATTTTTGTACCTACGTTGTATGTTGCATTAGTAGAGGTCTCGGCATTCTTTGGCAAAACGTTTACTTTGCTTGGAATCATGGAGAACAGAAACAGCCTACAAGATGTGATTCGCTTAGAATTCAATAATGTGGAATTTACCGGCCCGAATGCCGATTACAAGCTTATGTAACTGCATGGCATAACAGTCTACCAGCACCTTGGTGACATTCATAAGGCTGCGGTGCCAGACAATAATAACAAATCAAAACTTTTTCACGTACATGTTCACCAACTACCCAGTCTCAGGCAGGGCAGCACACCCGCCATGAGCAATGGTGCCATTTTCAGGCTGCCCCCTCTTGAGTCTGCCCCGGGACGTCCGTGATCTTATTTATTTGTTCGACTTCATTCCGGTTACTAGTACTCGATAGCAACGACCCGCAATTCAGCGCTGAATACTGTGCTTGTGACCCGCGCCTCGCCTTTCTCCGCGTCTGCCGGTAGATCTAGCGTGTTGGAAGCTGGATTAGCTACCTCGGTCCAATCAAAGTCATATCCATCGTGATATTAAGTGCCGTTGCGTTGAAGATTCCTCCTGATTTCTTGCATGCATTCTGAGGAACTTCGGACCTGATACCCAGGGAAATCCATCGGTGGACATGGGCAGACAATTACCAGCCCCCCGGCCCCTGAATGCCCCGAACCGACCGGCCCTGGCCAGGGGGCCGCCGCGGAGGTGTCCGAATACGGGTGCCCCCTGGCTACTTGCATGTAACCTTCTTCCTATTTAGTGGGGTCATATTGATTTCTCGGTCATTTTCCTGCACGGTTGTTAAGATCCTTGCCACGTGGACGCCCCATCTAGATTAAGGCCCAGATCTGGGCACTCTAGAAGAGACAACTTTACCTTCAGAATCGTAATCAGGTTTACCTGGTGTTCCGAGGTAAATGCATATTCGTGTGGGCTGCGAGGCGCTCATCCAATGTAAACGGTTCCAACATGCTTCCTTAGGCCCCTCAAAATTGTTGATCTCGCCTCGCTAACATCAGGGCTCATGCTTAAAATTCCGGAGAAATCTAGCCTGTTCGATCCAATACGGAATAAGCTCCAAGAACACATGAGATAGCATCTCGCCGCCTTGGGTCGCCTGGTGTGAAGTAGTCATCGTCTGAACGACGGGACCGGCACTCGCATGCAGGTTACCTCCTGCCCTCGTCTATTGTGGCCTTGGCTTGACTTGTTTTCCTTTTTTCTGTAATACCGCCTAGCTGGGCGGCTAGCAGGTGATCCTTGTTGGCATTGAATGTTAAATCCGAAGCGGAAGTCGCGACGGCTTAGGCTAGGTCGCATCCTACTGATACCCTGCTCTTCCTGCAGGGTGTCTCGGCGAACAGGCATGCTGTTGCTACCGCACCTATCAACGGCCACTCCCCAAAGGTTTTCCACCAGTTGTTTGCGAGGACTGGGAGCCTCGCGAGGTCAACTCTGTTCTTGGCCCATTCGGAGCGTTTCCGACTTAGACCTGCATGGTATCCGCCTCTGAGCCAATCTTGCGTTGGATGAAACAAGGGCCCTCAGTCCGTAATTGCAGGTAGGTTCAGTCGCTGAACTAATTGTTCCAATGCGTGACCCGTCCCGAGGTCCCTCGAAAGGAGGTCGCTGTTGGCCAGAAGCAATCGTCGCCTCGCGAGAAGGGGAGGGAAAAGACACACTGAAACGGTTGTATAAAGGGGTTGTTGTTAACCTGCGATTTCTTTCCGAGATTCTTGCTCTGCACTGCGATTTCTTCTACCCCTGCACAAGAAACTCCAGCACACATCTAATCAACAATCGGAAGAACTTTGCAATGTTCTTCTCACCCCGACTCGCCGTCGTCGGCCTGCTGGCAGTCGCTACCTCGGCTTTGACCTTGGAGCCAAGACAGAACGTTGCCCCTGGCCCCGTCTCCGGTGATACTTTCATCCACGACCCGACAATAACCAAAACTCCCAGTGGCACCTATCTGGCCGCATTTACCGCCGACGGCGTGGGGCTGAAGACGTCCACCGACCGGACCAACTGGAAGGACGCCGGCGCCGCTTTCCCCAACGGTGCGTCATGGACAACCAAGTACACCAACGGCGAGAAGAACCTCTGGGCGCCTGATCTCTCGTACCACGACGGCAAATACTTCCTCTACTACTCCGCCTCGAGCTTCGGAACTAGCAAGTCAGCCATCTTCCTCGCTACCAGTACCACTGGTGCATCCGGCTCGTGGACCAACCAGGGTCTTGTTATCGAGTCCACGGCGAACAGCGGGTACAACGCCATTGACCCTAACTTGATCATCGATGCCGAGGGCAGGTGGTGGATGTCTTTTGGCTCATTCTTCGGCGGCCTTAAGATGGTGGAGCTGTCTAGCAGCACCGGCAAGCTCAAGAACAGCAACATCATTTCAATCGCTACCCGCCCCGACAACTCTGAGAATGCCATCGAAGCGCCCTTCATCACCCGCAACGGCAACTACTACTACCTCTGGGTCTCGTTCGACCGCTGCTGCAAGGGCGCTGATAGTACCTACCGCATCATGGTCGGCCGCTCTACCAGTGTCACCGGCCCCTACGTTGATAAGAGCGGCAAGCAGATGATGCAGGGCGGAGGCACTCGGGTCATGTCCAGCCACGGCTCAGTTCACGGACCCGGCCACAACGCCGTGTTCACCGATAACGACGCCGATGTCCTGGTCTACCACTACTACAACGATGCCGGCACTGCGCAGCTCGGCCTCAACCTCATCCGCTACAGCAGCGGCTGGCCGGTCGTGTACTAAGACGAATCACCTTTTCGCTCAGCCAATTCAGGAATTGCGCAGAGACGACATGGCAAATGATGGGCTGACGTGCAGCTGAGACCTGTTCACGCGCGAAACACAGTTTTCCTCGTGTTTGCACTGGTTTCAGACGTTTACTTCGATTGTATCTACTTGTTTCCACCCTATCTACTTATCTCCATTGTATCTACTTCCTTCGACTGTATCTACTTATTTCGGTTGTATATACTTACTTCAATTGCAGTCGCATTTTGCGATGCTAGTCGACTATTCACTGTAGAAAGCATTATGAGCGTGTTCAAGAGATTTGTTGGTTCTACAAGCTCGATGCGGATGGCGGAACTCTCGGGGGCCGACAGCGCTTAACTAAAAGAGTTCTCGGGTGCCCTCGGGCACTGTTATTGTACACCTCAGGCATTGCCTTCTCAATTGCCGCACATATAACTCTACCGTTTAGTCTTTGAACATGCCCCTATCCCGTTGCCTATCTTCACGTGGTCGGCATGTCGTCCAGTCATGACCTGAAAGTTTCGCAGGTATGCAACATCCCTATCCAATAGTGCTACTCCATGAAATGCGGGTTAACTCTAGCCAAGGCGGCGGCATGCGCGGCAATAAGCGTTGACGTCTTGTTGCATCCACTGGATACTCTCATTACGCGCATGCAATCCCCAGTCTACAAGACGCAGTACAAGACAGCCAATGGCTCGTTCAATCGGACATTTTTCCGCGGACTCTACCAGGGGTTCGGGCCCACGATCATCACTGGGATACCTTCATCAGCGGCGTTTTTCACGATATATGAAAGACTAAAGACAGTTACTCGGGACGCGAAGTCAGCAGGGTATCTTTCCGGCGTCCCCCTTCCCATCCTTCATGGGCTTAGCAGCGCGGTAGCAGACCTCGTGAGCTGTGCCATTATCAACCCCGCCGAGGTGTTGAAGCAGAATGCGCAGATGCATGGAGGTGATGCCCTTAAGCCTGTCAACTCACGGCAGTCCCCAACGCTTCTCGCTGTAAAGCATTTCATGAAAAGTCCAGGGAGGCTATGGGCCGGGTATACAGCTTTGGCGGCGAGTCATCTGCCTGCAACTAGCCTAAGCTTCGGTCTATATGAGTTACTGAGAGAAAGGTTTCTTGGGGAGGCTCCGCGCCAGCGACTTGAAGCCAGCGCAGCTCGTCAAATAGCCGTGAGCACATTCAGTGGAGCTCTCGCCGGCGGTTTTGCATGTACGCTCTTCGTGCCCGTCGACGTTGTGAAGACGCGAATGAGGCTTGCTGCTGGGAACACAGTATCCAGTGACCACCAACACCATCACAACCAGACGGCACATCAGGGTGCCAAATTGCCAAACACAATTCGGTCTCGGCGGCGCCTCGGCCCCCTAGATGTGGCAAACCGCATCTTTCGGAAAGAAGGTGTTCTTGGGTTGTTCAGAGGCGGCACTCTGAGTTTTTTGGCCTCAGCATTAGGTTGCGGACTCTATCTAGGCTCGTATGAGGCTTGCATTCTGTTCTTGTGACACCCAGAACTCAGAGGGCAACTGTTCAACACTGTGTAAAGCACCGCGGTTGTATGATTATTTTAGAAAAGGACGCATCCTACTCAGTTTTATAATACCTCGTATCACTGTCAAACGTGGATCATACAGGGAGTGGCCCGAATGTGAGTTGGTGCACTGTGATCGGGGTTCAATGAAAGACAAATCAGTCTAGAGTCGGAGAAGATACTTGATATCCACTTACTTTGTATGCTTTGGTCGTACAGGTCAAAGTTCGGCCCTGGGTAAGGTGACCTCAGCTCCCATCTGTTCTTCACCCCAGCCCTCACGACGATCTCTTGGTATTCTGACAAACGCCAGAGACAGAACTATGGCAACGCCGGCCATCCCGATGCCAAGGTAAAGACCATTTCTATACCCTCGAGCCAGTTCTTTGCCATTGTTGTTTGTGTAATACTCCACCGTGCCAGCAAAACCCAACCCAGTTGCTAAACCGTACGATAGAATTGTTCCAATAAGAGACCCTGCGAGGCCCTGTTGATCTCGCCGGACTGTCCCACTGGCAATGAGTTGAGACGCTGTGAACACGAAATCAGGCCCTAGCGACCCGAGAAGAGTTGCAGGAAATGCTTGAGCCCAGTAGGTTTGCTGGACTGGCATTGTTGCCACGAGGAGAAGAGAGACGAGTGTCGCTGTGGAACCGATGGCCAGAATGTATTGCGCAGCCAAGTGTCGCACCACCTTTGCACTCAAAAGTGCCGCCCCTGCACCAGCCACTGCTAAGGGAGCGTACGTGGCGGCGTTGAGAAGCATTGTGTAGCCTCTCAATTCGGCCTGCCATGCAGTCAAATACCAAATGAGCATGCCGAATCCCATGAAGGATACAAAAGATGACACAATCATCATGCTAAACGACGGCGACCCCCAAATATTCATTGGCATGATGGGCGCGGCTGTAAATCTCACCTCCTAGATAATAAAGCCAGCCACATGGAGAATCGACGCAATAAGAAGTCCATAGACGTATGGGACGGACCAGCCCACAAGGGCGGATTGACTGAGTCGCGAGCGTGAGAATGCCATACAGATGTGGGGAGGGAGAGAAGGTTTACTCACGTCCACACGAAGTTGAAGAGAATCAGGCCGGACACACCTAGGTATGCTCCAATGTAGTCGATCTTGCCCACAGGATCCATCAATGTGGGCTCACCAGGTACAATCATGATGAACAGGCCAAAAATGACACTTCCCAAGAGAGCTCTGTTGTGCCCCTTGATTAGAGGGGTGGATTTCACTGCAAGAGGTGAAGGTCAAAAACTCACAAGAAGAAAAACAGCCACCACCATTGGGTCAGTTGGCCAAACAGAGCGGGGAATACGCTCCCACCCGCAGCACCAATTGGTACCATAGCGCCAAACAGCCCAACTGAAATGTTGCGAGCCTTGCCAGGTGGATTCGTTATCGTGAGGAGAGCCACGGCATTTGGAAAGACAAACGCAGCCCCAATGCCACTCAGTGCACGCATGATACTCAAAGATATGATGCTGCGCATGAAGCCGGATATGAGATGGAAGATTACCCAGAGTACACCACCGGCGGCAGCAGTCTTTTTGTGGCCGTATATTGCACCAACACGTCCTCCCATGAGGACAAACGTGCCTTGAGTAAGGCTGTGTCTATGGGTCAGCTCTCAATGTTTGGATGGCCCGTTACATAAACACGTACGGATAGGATGCTACAATCCAAATAGCAAAAGCGGGTAACACGCCGAGCTGCTTAGCCATGTTGAGACCGCCGTTGATGCCTGCGCCTAGGGGAATCATCTGTTGACATTCAGATCTAATGCCCACGAGAGGGCTGTGATTAGGTGATGTTCATACCTGAATAAATTGCCATAGAATAATGCAGGCCGAAGCAGCAGCTTTGCGCCATTTTCCATCAGTTTCGCTGACTGATTCAATGTAGTTTTCATGAGGCCTTGCTGTCGCATTCTTGCGTTCATTGTTGTCTGCCATCTCTGCAAGTCCGAAGGGAGCTTATGCTGTCTGATCATCTGGCTTCTCTCATATGGTAGGCAGGCCAAATTTACTGGAAAGGCTGAATGTGGACAACTGTCGCGCTCCATATTTCGATTCGATCAATTAGCGGTCGACCCGGTGGCTGGGTAAGCAAAAGAGTACATATGACTGAATTATATAATTCGACATAATTTCTAAACCATTTACTAATCAGCATGGAGCGTATGTAGCTATTCTATTCCAAAACCAAGTCATTCATGGGGAGCGTGAAACTATCGGGTCGTGCCGAGAAAATGACAAAACACGGACAAGTGTTCAATCACCACACGGAGACGTTGACAATTCAATCAATACCCGAATAGAATTTTGTTCACCATGGTAGATTCATACAAAAGAGGGCGTGTCAACTAGTGAAACATCCCAACCTCTCACTTCAACTACCTACCCAAAGTTATCAGGGCTTCAAGCTAATATGGATACTCTCATTCAGAAGCAATTGATCAACTCGCGATCTTTGCAGTACAATTACTACACATCACTTACTTGGACGATTCCACAGCCGACCCCGTTCTCGTTCTCTTCCATGGATTCCCCGATTCAGTGTCTGTATGGGCGCCAGTTGTTACACTTCTCGTTGCAGCTGGCTTCCGGCTCACGATACCAGATTTGCTCGGGTATGCTGGCACGTCTAAGCCATGGGACGTCTCGTTCTTCAATTCCAGCGCTATGGCGAACGACATCATAGAGATACTCGACCTCGAGGGTGTCGTCAACTTCGTTTCCGTCGGGCATGACTGGGGAGCTTTCATGGCACATCGGATGTACGTGTGGCACCCTGAACGCGTCAATGCTCTCGTCGTGGGGGCATATAATTACGAACACGTGGCTAGGACGCCAATCAACATCGACATGGAGGCCAAAGAGTTTGAACGCCAACTGGGATGGCCAGTAAAGTACTACTACAAATTTCTCGCTAGTTCAGACGCACCGAGTCTGTTGTCCGGCCATCCTGAGAGTTTCTATGCTGCTGGGCACGGAGAAAACAGCGCCATGAATGATACCTTTGGCCGACGAGATGGCCTTGTCGACTGGCTGTCTGCTGACAAACGGAGAAAGCTGCAGTCATACGCCGATGACCCCGCAGCTATGAGTGCCGCCAGGGATAACTTCCAGGGCGCCGGATTTACATCGCCCTTGATGTGGTACCGCACCCTAGTGAAGAACGTACATATGGAGGTGGAGAAGAGCCTCGCAGCCGATGCAGACAACATTCGGGTACCGTTCTTGCATATGGGCGGCTCTAGGGATCCCGTTTGTCCTCCGGCAATCTTTGACAACCCAGAATTGCGCGCTTATTTCTCGGACTTCACGAGTGAAGTCTTTGAATGCGGGCACTTCCTCCCATCTGGAAAGCCCAAGGAGATTGCAGAGACCATGATAGAGTGGTTGAAGTCAAGAGGAATCGCACCACAGTGAATGAAAGCTCAAATTACCTTAAAAAGGGTAGATGTGTAAAATAGCGGGGCCGCCAAGCAGACGTCGACGTCTACACCCATAGATGATATCTTGATTTGTGAACAAGCCCACTCAAGAAAGCAATACAAATATCTGCGCATCTTTGCTTTCAAATGAGCCTCGGCTCTCATTATATAATTTTGTCGCTCGTGCCCCAGGTCTGGCATTGCAAGTGTATGTTCACTAATCGCAAAACTGACTTCGATATGACGGTCCTGTGCGGCCTGTGGTAAGAGGCATTTGTCATCAGCTCACGCCCTAAGCTTGACATTTCAAGAACCACGGTAGACATATCTTACATATACCAACCATGATGCGTTGATACGTTGAAAGTCAAACTCCAGGCTCCGAATAGCCTGTCCAAAAACCATACTGAGCACAATTTGAAATACTACCTTTCCAATTCAATGCGCTCAATGAGTGAGATGGAGAGCGACAAGACCGCTATCTCTGCACACCATCTTCAAACAGGTAGGCGAGGCCGCCCACGGAAAGAGCCATCGAAGAGCATGCAGCTGAATGTAAGTTTATTGCATCGGCCTCCACCTGATAGAAAGCGTCTCAATGCTAATCTGGATAGAGTCGCCGTGAAAGGAACCGCATTGCTCAGAATACCTTTCGCCTGCGACAAAAGGCTACAGAGAAGGAAAGACAAAATGAGGTTGAGCAGCTCGAGCGAATGATCGACCATGTTGTGTCAACATTCTCTAGCTTCGCCGAAAGTGTGGTAGAGTCATCATGGGCTCGAAGGGACACAGATTTGATTGATAAACTGCGGCAATCAATGCAGAACATTCGCACTATCCTCAGCTATGGTGGTGGAGTGCCACCGCCTGATGTGACGCAACGAGAGGGAGACTTTATCAGTGCTCCGCAGAAAGAAATGCCGTCGGGCGATTTGAATGACGAAACGATGCAGCATGGTCCGAGAGGCGTCGAGGCTGATGCATCAACTGAGTGGCAGGGAAGGAAGCACGCGGAGGCATCAAAAGTTGCAGAAGGTGGCTCCCATGTGAGCCACGCGCACTTCATTGCGAACCATCACTTGGACTGTTCTCATGAGCAGGCTGCTCATTCAGACATCGAAGCGAACATATTCGGTAACGGCTGGATGATGCTGTTGCCGCCGATGGCGAACATCTCAAGCCATGAATTTTCCCAAGGAAAGGCCCTCGACAGCCCCTTCAGCCTCCAGGTTGCGCTTACAGCTTTGAGAGCTGGATACGACGCCCTTCTTGAGACTAAGGACACATCTCAGGCGGCAATTCAGCAAACATTCGGACACGTGTTGCAGTTTCGTACTCGGGAGGAAATACTATTCAATCTCCGATGGTACCTCGGACCGGGGATTGGTGAAATTGATCAGGTGGCTCTCGTTTCATTCAACAATCGTTCGGCCTCCCAATTCGAAAAGCACATACTGCGAAACTACATTCCAGATGAACAAAACGAGGGTGAATTAGGAGGCACTGGGGATCCCAATGGCGACGAGGAACAACCGGTATGCAATGCCAACGATGTTGCAAAATGGTTACGGCAACGAACGGTGATGGAAGTGGACGATGACACTCTGGAGTTGAACTTGAATCCTAGCTCAGCTAAGTCAAAGGCTATCAAGGAAGCCGCTACGTACATGAGCCACGGTCTGCTTCGACTTCCGGACTCTTCATCCGATGAATCGGGCGATGAGGATGCTTGGATGAAAGGATCTGTCTTCATATCAAGATCACTGTTTCTGAGAGCCATATCCAATGTTGCCTTCTGTCTCTATCTTGGGCCTGCGTTCGGGAAGCTGAAGCTAGAGGATGTGGTAAAAGTGTCCGTCGTCACACCTTGAAGTAGCTCTCGCCTAGTGGGTATTCATTCCTAGCTTATACCAGGATTGCGTGTAACTTCTGGGGATTACCGAAAATTGATCTTCATATTTACAGCAGCCAAGTATATGATATCGTCCTGTATTCAATAGTCCTAGCCTGCTTGTGGTGATCACTGTGTCGACTTCCCAGCAATGGATTCATCGAGCCAACCGGAACAGGTTGAAGCCGACCAAACTCAGACCCAATCCAGGCTTAGCTTATGACATTGAAATTTTTGAAGAGCTTCGGACTTCATTGGGTTACGTAGAGCGGTGATTGTGGTGGTGGTCAGCCCCGCTGAGGAGTCTGCACGCCCAGCTGCCAAAAACATCATAAACTGAGTGTGTTAGCCTACAGCCTACTGGGCCAAGCCAATGTCTTTCATTTCTTCAATGTCACTGGACGCCACATTTTAAAGAACGCCATGGCTGAGAAGTGTCTCTGCGTCAAACTTGAGCGAAACCGCCCTTATTTAATGCTCGTTTCACAGCCTGGTGTCCTCTTGTGCCTCTACCTCCTTCGCAACGTCAGTATCTCCATGCTTTTCGAAGTTGATTCCGGTGGCTGCTGATCAATTTCCAAGGAGAGAGTACCGGAAAGGCGACCGTCTGATTTACTTCGGGCACTTCCCCTACCATGGATGAGATGAATGAGCCTATCAAACACGTTCCTCCCCCTTGGGACTTGAAAGGAACATCCTACTTCTTCATGTTCTGGATTCCGTCGGCACAGGCAAAGAAGCTTCCGACTGACATTGCGTTTTCCCCACATGAGGCTCAATCCTCTTTCGCGCGCGCTTCGGTCTCAGGATCACCACAGGGAGGGATCGGCACCATCCAGATCCACCGGTACGCATCCAGCCCCGTGGGGCCTTACGATGAGTTCATCCTATCAACTGGAGTGTACTCTTACCCAGTCGAGGAGAATGGCAAACGGACGGAGAAGCGGAATATGCGAATCACTCGCATCTATGTGTCACAGAAGACGACATGCTGGAATGGTCGCAAAGGTGAGATCTTTCTTTTGCTAGTTGACAGGTTGTGGATACTAAGCGGGTATAGATTGGAGCATCCCAAAGCATCTTGCTCGTTTTGAGTTCAATGAACTAGCTGGCGGTGCCACAGAGATCAAGATCTTCCCACACGATACCACGGGCGACGTTGCGGAGACAGTGGCTGACAAGAAGCCTTTCTTCCGTACTGTGTACAAGCCGGTCAACTACTTGCCCAGCTTCCCGCTGACGACATCGCTGGTCAAGTTTCTCGGAGTGGACTTGACCCTCGTACAGCCTCCTTTGCCTGAGGGGAACGGCGGCCAAGGGGAGCTCGTCGGTACCGACCGATGGTGCAAGTTCTTTCCAACGATTTCAAGCTCAAAGTCGGAGTTTGGCTGGTTTGATATGAGACAGGAAGAGGATGCTAAAGAGGCGAACTTCTGGCCGGGCCTCGGAAGATGGAGGCTCGGGATGATGATGAAGAATTCTGACATTTCATTTGGGGGTATGCAGTACTGGAATGCACCGCGATCGGCACAATGACGGAGTTATTATTATTGAAGCTGTTTTGTTCCTGAACCTAGTCACGAGTACACATGATTCTTTGTATCTTTCCGTTGTGAACATGCCAA